GAAGCCGTTGGTGTCCAGCCCGTTTGTGGTTCCTGTTCTTGCTCTGCTGGAACCTGAACCTTGGGGTGGCATCCAAGGGCAGCGTTTGGACCTGGAATTTTGGGGTTAAACCAGGACAGGGGAAGGGATTCTGTGTCCTGGAGCTGTGCCTGTCAGGATAAAGGCACAAATGTGTACAAACTGTGGCACACCTGGGCAGGTGAGAGTGCCAAGCACACCCCACCCTGCTCCCACTTTACTCCAGAGACGCTCCTCGGTGTAACTCACACTGAATCCACCATGCTCTGTTAGCCTTTGGTGTATTTTTTGTTGGTTTTTCTTTTTTCATATCACGGGCAGAATTTTTTTTTAGGCCCTAAGAGCAGCACAAGCCGCACCTTGGGATTCCACAGTGACATTTCGATGTGCAGCCACACTTTGCACAGCGGAGCAAGCTGGGAGCAAGGGGAGGCAGCCTGAAACGGCGGTGAGTCAGTGCAGGGAGGAGGGCAGTTCACAAATGACTCATTTCAGCAGAAATTAGCGGCTCTTGAACTGGACAAAAGGAGCTCATTTGCTTGATAGCACAAAAATTAAGGCTTGGCANGCAGCCTGAAACGGCGGTGAGTCAGTGCAGGGAGGAGGGCAGTTCACAAATGACTCATTTCAGCAGAAATTAGCGGCTCTTGAACTGGACAAAAGGAGCTCATTTGCTTGATAGCACAAAAATTAAGGCTTGGCAGGCTGGGCGGGTTTAAGTATTTAGTGTGGGGTTTTTTTTTTTCAAATTATGGATTGAAACGTTATTTTTGGAAGTTAATTTAGCATAGTAAGGGTCTGGCACTGCTTCTCCTGAAGGGTTGAAAACAGAATTGGGAGGAGAAGGGAGATTATCAGAGACATTCCTGCTGCTCACAACAGCAGCGCTTATTTATACAACACTGAAGTTGGAAAATCACACATTCCCAAGGCTCTCCCTTCCCTTTCCCACGGGGTTCCCCCTTTTTTTCAGTGTGTCAGGACAAACTGCTCCGCGTTAAAAATAACCCAAAATTCCCCATCTTTTCACCTCATCAGGGTTTTTAATGTCATCAACTCCAGCGGGAGCAAAAAGCAGTGTTTGCTTTTGAATTAGGGACAGACAGGACACACCTATGAGACCACTGCGTTGTCACTTTGTTTTGTTTCAAACAAAACCGAATTATGTCGCAATTTTTACTCCCAGATTTCAGTCAGGAGCATTGCTGATGTCGGGAGATTTCTACAAAACACCCCGGAGGAAGAAAGAAGGCTGAGAAAACCCAACCAGCATCAGGTTTAGTTACCTGAAACACCACCCTAAGCTGGCCTGGCTGGAGATCTCTGTTTATCTGCGCAGGAGATCTGAACCGTCTGAGCACAGCTCAAGGTTTGCTCAGCTCCCAGCTCATGAGGAAAGCCAAACACGTGGGCTGCAGCGGCGGAAAGGTCACRGGAGGGAGAGGATGGAGCCACCAGGGCTTGTTGTGCTGGTGTTATTTACCCGGTTGGCTCCCAGCGCTTGAGTCCTGAGTCAAAATATCCCAGGTGGAACGGCCGCAGGGAGGAGAAAATAATATTCGCTCCATGCACTCAGGGTTTTGCATCTTCTGTGAAAATGTCAGGGAATTTAGGCTGAAAAATACCCAGGAATAAAAGCCCCGCTTCCCCACGCTTCCCATGCAAATATGCACATAGGCCTCTTTTGCTTAAAAATGGTATTTTTAACTCCATCCTTTTTTTTTTTTTTTCTTTCCCCTTGGATTCAGCTTGACAGTGTGTAACACACCACAGAAAAATGGTATGAGTCGAGTTGAGCTGCAGCACTTCAGCTGCAGCGCCTTTATTTATAAAACAACCAACCAAAAAAAAAAAAGAAATTATGAAATCATTGATTCAAAGGAATCAATAATAAATATTTGCTTTCCTCTGAGTTGTTCAGACACAGTACAAGTACACCAATCATAGCAGGTAGCAGAGATGGAAGCTGAGTTTAGCTGCTGAGAAACAAAAAGCTACATAACATGGTAGGCATTTAATCACACGAGTTATAGCTGGTATATGACAGTAAATGCTTTAATACACTATTTTACAAAGCAGAGTTTGGCTTATTCGCTTCCCTTTGTGCAAYTCCTGATCATCTGGAGCTTGGAAAATAGGATTCCCTTGGAATGATCCCTTCCTCCTGTTCCCTTTGAGTGGTGAATTCATTTCCCTGGGAGATCGCTGATCTGTGGGCTGGCAGCAGATACCTGGGCAGTACCTGGAAATTCCTGACAGGGCTTGGAAATTGCAGTTTAAAGGGACTGGAAACTGCAGGTTATCAGGGATTGGAAATTGCAAACTAACAGGGATTGGAAATTGCAAACTAATAGGGATTGGAAGTTGCAGGTTAACAGGGATTGGAAATTCTGGGTTAACCAGGATTGACAATTCCAAAGTAACAGGGACTGGACATTCCAGGTTAACAGGGATTGGAAATTGCAAACTAATAAGGATTGGAAATTGCAGGTTAACAGGGACTGGAAATTCTGGGTTAACCAGGACTGAATATTCCAAACTAGCAGGGATTGGAAATTCTGGGTTAACCAGGATTGGATATTCCAAACTAACAGGGATTGGAAATTCTGGGTTAACCAGGATTGGAAATTCCAAACTAACAGGGACTGGGCATTCCAGGTTAACAGGGATTGGAAATTGCAAAGTAACAGGGATTGGAAATTGCAGGTTAACAGGGATTGGAAATTCTGGGTTAACCMGGATTGGAAATTCCTAACTAACAGGGATTGGACACTCCAAGCTCACAGGGATTGGAGCAGCCAGGATCGATCACCCAGACCAGGCTCCAGCTCCTCTACCTGACCTTCCCCAAGGCTCCCAACCCTCTCAGCCCAAAGCACGAGTGATTTCTCTGCTTGGGGACAGCAGGAGAGGGCTGCCGGGGCTGCTGTGACCCGCAGCCCGTTCCCAAAGGCTCCGGGAAAACCTGTCGGGGTGAATTCTCTCCCCTCCAGGCTGCAGACAGAGGAGCTTCCTCTCTGCTAATTACCGGGCTGGGCTGGGACTCAAACCCGCCCCAGAGCCTTTGACTTTCCGCTGGGACCAGCTTAGCTGTTGGAACGGTCACACTGGGTTTGTGGAGGAGCTCCTGAGCGCTCAGGAACGGGAAAAATGCTCTGGGGTGGGTGCTTAAAGCGCTCTCGGGTGCTCAGGAGTGGAAAAAGYGCTCCTGGGTTTGTGTGCACAGAGTGAGGATGCTCAGGGGCAGCACAGAGGGACATGAAGCGCAGTGAGCAGCCASAGAAGAGCCACAAGCTGCTTTAGCTGTCCTGTTCCTGCTCTCAGGATTTTCCCGGCTCTGGAGCGCTTTGGAATGCCTGAGCCTTCGGGGTTTAGGAGAAAAGCAACTGCAGAGGAATCACAGACGCTGAGAGCTGCTGCTTCAAGCASAGCTGATCCAGGGATGAGCTCCTGGAAAACATCCAGGGGGAAATATCAGAGTATCCAATGATGCCGGAGTGAKTTTTGCCTTTTTTCTTTTATACATTTGTCACCTTCCCAGTACTTTTTCTTCCCCTTTTCCCCAGCTGGAAAACCAAACCCATTCCAGTGCTCCAAACCCCAAAGGGCACAAAGCCCCTATTCCATCATGGTTATTCCTGGAAACCAAGGTCTTTGATCCCCATTTTCATGAACAAATACAGCTGGAATTGAGGGTAGGGGCTGCAGAGAAGGGACTTGACCTGGAGGAAATCACATCACCCCTTGTCCTCTTAATTGGTGCTTTTATCAATTACTAATTTCCTAAAACCTATCAAACTGCATTCGCCCCTGTGGGGGCTTTTGTGGATATTCTTCCATGACTGCTCCAACAAAGCCCCACTTTTATCTCCCCTCCTGTACTAAAATCATCTCCAGTTTCATTTTGAGGCTGAAAAAGGCAAAACCAACACTAGGAGCTGCCATGGCAGTAGCAGCTTATCAAATACCTCATACCAGGTCTCTTTTATTTRAAATTGTGACTTGGGATTGATTTTCCTGCTCAGCATCAATAATTTGTCCTGCCAAGGGTTAAATCTGGGGTAGAGAAAGCAACTGGAATTTTGATACATCTGATGGAAATTTCTCTTCTCCTAGGAAGAGAAATACTCACACAGTGTAGGGCAGGTTTGAAAATTATTTCCCATTTGAAAGAAGCCCAAGCAGGGTTTGGCTTTGATCAGGTTTTCAAAGATCTCAAGTAAAGAAATTAGAATTCTGGGTCTCRGGCAGAAAAGGAGATTAATGACAGTTCTGCAGTGAGTTATAGATTTGTGGTTCTTCTGTGCTCATCCATCTTSTGTRGGCTCTTCCCTCAAATTGAAGAAAMCYTTCCYYCCYYMAAWKRRAAAAAAAAAAAAATACCCAAACASCCTCATTTTTYAACTAGCAAAACAGGATTCTAGAACCTACGAGCTSAGTGTCTTGTGTGTAGCAGTGGTCAGAGCCAAGTCCTTCAGAGGAAAACATCAATGACACAACTCTGCATCTGTCCCAGCCTCCCRTCCTTTCCTGACTTCATATTCCTCGGAAATGTTCATCACAACAAATATTTTTTTTTACATTTTTAAGTCTTGCTAAATGTTTCAGCCTCAGCTCCAGCACATGGCCTGGTGGGACAATGCACACAAAGATTTCCCCAGTGGAAGCAGCTTTTTGTGCTTGTTTACCTGTCCCAGGTGTGTTTTCCTCTGTCAGAGCATCCTTCAGGCCTTTCCTGGAGCTCACTCAGGAGTTCTGCTCATTCAGGCTGGGGAAAAACTTCCCACAAGGCTTCTCCAGCACAGCTCCCCCCAAACCTGGCCAATTCCCCACCAAGGGCTCTTCCCAGCGCTCCATCCAGGATTTTTGGTACATTGGTGCCCTCCCCGTGTGGGCACTGCCTCCCTGCTGGGTTCAGGGGGTTCAGGTTCCCTCTTCTCCCCTCGCTAAGGCTCATTTGGCACGGCCAGCCCTCCGTGGGGCTCCCGTGCCTTGGCAGTGCTGCCCACGAAAGCAGAGTCAGGCTCCTGGCCCTTCTCTGGGTGCATTTAAAGTTTATTCTGGCAATTAAAGCACCTCTGTTTTCTTGACAGAAAAGGTCCTTTTTCTTGAATACAGAGTTTAGTTCAGGCGCCTCAACATTGCATCTCTTGACCTTTTTTAAAGTAATCCTTTCATTTCCACTTCAGTTACAGCCTCTGGTATTCCACTGAATGCAGAAAATGTGAAGCACCTGGCAGTTCTGCCTCAAAATCTTCACTTAAGACAATGCATCTTGGAGAAAATTCTCCAAAACCAGTCCAAGAGACCTCTCCCTCCCCACGAAACCTCTCGGGAATATTATGCCTCTTGAAGTCTCTGTTGATCCCTTTTAAAAAATCCTGAGGTTTGGCTTCTTTTCACTTGCACAGCGCTTTGCTGTGGTAGTTTTGAAATGCTCAGTGCTCCATTTTCAACCAAAAAAAAAGAGAAAAATTAAAAAGAAGCTCCCTTTTCCCTCCAACATAYCTTTCTCCGATAAAAGAAAATTCCCCATCAGAACCTCAGTGCTGGAAGATGTCCAGAAAGAATTGAGTGGGAGGGCTTCTCGTGGTGYGAATAATCCCAAGTGATTACGATTAAGCTGACCAGGAAGAGAACTAGCTACCCTAACGATTCCTATGTGGCTGGTGGTGTGTGAAGTGGTTTTTTTGGGACGCTCCGTGGGCAGTCACACGGTTTGGAACGCCCGGCTCTGGGYGGGCACCATCACCGGCGTCGCTCCCATCTTCATCAGGTTGTTGTAGTCGACTCTCTTTGGCTCGGTTTCTTTCCTCTCCAGCTGCCGGTGGCTGTACTGGGGAGGGGTGAGGTGGGGAGTGGCTTCGGTGGACAAAGTCCGCTGGCTGCGGGAGGCACTGTTGGCTGTGGACCTGGTGGAGGAAGAGCCCGAGCGGGAGCTCCGTGAGCCGGAGGAGGAGGAGCTGGGCTTGACCAGGTGGGCTTTGGGTGCCTCAGCATCTTCCCTGCAAGCAGACGGGTAAATGGTAAAATATCTGACAGGTAAAATATCAGACAGGTAAAATACCAGACAGGTAAAATATCAGACAGGTAAAATATTGGACAGGTAAAATATCAGACAGGTAAAATATCGGACAGGTAAAATATCAGGTAAAATATCAGGTAAAATATCTGACAGGTAAAATATCGGGCAGGCAAAATATCGGACAGGTAAAATACCAGACAGGTAAAATATCGGACAGGTAAAATATCGGACAGGTAAAATCTCAGACAGGTAAAATATCAGACAGGTAAAATCTCAGACAGGTAAAATATCAGACAGACAAAATATCGGACAGGTAAAATATCAGACAGACAAAATATCGGACAGGCAAAATATTGAACAGGTAAAATATCAGACAGGTAAAATATCATTTTAGTGCTCTGCGTTGGTGCTGTAGCTGGAAATCTCCAGGGTGAAAGGAAGGAGAGGGAGATGTCTTTACAAACGAACTGTGGGGCTGCTGGTGGATAAAGCCAGGTACTGACAGGTGAAAGGAGAAATGGGAGGAACCAGAAATTGCAGAGGAATTCCACCCATTGACACAGACTGATACTGAGCCAAGGCAGGGCTAAATCTCTGGATTTAGGGAAAAAGAACAGAGACACAAAGAATAAAAAAAAGGGGAGGGGGGATGCACATTAGGTGGGGTCTATATCAGGGGATTTGGCGAGTCTGTACCTCCCCAATCCCTCAGCAATGGGGAAAGAGAGAGGGAAATGGGGCTGAGAAATTGGGATAAAAGAGGCTGCATCCTCCAGCAATTGGAAAGATTCCATGAAAATGTCCCGTGGCCTCTCCCATTATTCGAATAAAGTCACAGGACTTCTCTGTCTCCTTCTTGGACACCAACCTCTGATGTTTGGGGTTAATTTTCCTACCAAGGGTATATCCTGCAGGGGTTGTGCAAACTCCCTGCTCTGTAACTCGGTGGGTTCAACTCCCCATTGCCCCGCAGAGCTGTTGTGAATGGGTTTGGAACAAACACACGCTGCTCACAAACGGCTCGAGTGTCAGAGAGAGCTGCTGCTYTCTAACCCACAGCCCGAATGACGAACAGCCCGGCCTAAGCTGCCTAAAACCGGTTCCACCGCTTCAAATCACCCTGCGGGCAGTGGGAGAAGCGCAAGATCTGGGTCCGAGGAGAAAGAAAGAAAGAAAGGGGGAGGATGTAACAGCCAGGCGCGAAAAAAGCGCTACAACGGAAAAGGCAAGATGTGAATGCAAAAGRAACGGGAAAAGGGGGGAGAAATCAGCAGAGAGCGGCTTTGTGCTGAGAGCGATCAGCTGCTGAAGGGATTAGAGCGCGGAGATGTCACACGGGGCCAGGCAGCCGCGCAAACAGCACAAAGATGGATCAAGGGTTTGTTTCTTCGAGGGCGGCAGCGGCTCTGACTCGTTCCTGGAAATTGCTCTTTGCAGCGCTTTCCTTCCTGAGGAGCTGAGGCTGGGCTGGGCTGGGCTGGGCTGGGCTGGAGCCCAAGCGCTGCTCAGGGCAGGTCCGGCCCCAGGCAGGGAACAGATGAGCTGTGAGAACAGGAGGGAGCGTTCCTGGGGCTCCAGCTCCTCTC